GCCTTGTAAATGCTTGTCAAGGGGTTCTCTTAAAAATTCTAGTATAGATCCTTCCGATGTTTTGTGATACTTGTTACCAGCAGATATTTCTTGTAATCAGTTTCACACAGTGATGATTCAGATTCTTGGTGATACCTCATGAAACAATTTGAAATTATTTCTATTTATATGCAATATTCTATTATAAGATTATGCTAAATAATGTGATTAATATCAAAGATCCCTCAGTAGTTTTTAAAATTGTTAAGGAATACTGCTCTTTTTATATGTGGAGAAAGAGTCTGCCTTCATCTGTATGTAGTAGACATCATCAATAACTTCCAAATAAACAATACCTGTAAAAACCATAGGACAAAACATTAAACTTATGGTATGAGCACAGGTCAGAATTAAGAATTTTGTGACAGAGCTTCTATTTCTCCTATCTTAATTATAAAACATAAATACCACATAAAATCTATGTACTTTTTGAATCTGATTAATAATTTTCGATTTCACTTTTAAAACCTGAGATCATACTAGGTACAGGATTCAGTGTTATAACACTTGCCTAGCATGCACAAAGCCCTGAGTTCAATTCTCAGATTGAAAAATAACACAGCAAAAACCTTAACATCGTTTTTATGAAGACATTTAAAAACATTTCTTCTTTACATTATCTTTGGGTCTAAATCTGCGTAATAATAAGCAGCGTACAAAACTTCATACCTATGATTCAGTGATCTGAATACTTTCTTGTACACCAAATTATAGCTGTAAGCATCAAATCACAATGAACTTTGAAACTATTAAGAATTTGTAATTTAAATAGTTTCACTCTACCCCTACTCCCAAATGCTTTTAATTAGAACAGACTTTTTTTAATTAAGTACTCCCATGCACAAAGTTTAGCTTGATGATTTTTCCTGTCATATCAACCTCCCATACAAAAGCAAATAATCATTGTGTCAAAAGAAAACTTTTTAAAACTAGAATATAGAAATTCCAGCTCTTATTTCAAGCTGTTTAGCTGGGGCTGTATAGTCTAGAAGGAAGCCTTTGCCCTGGGAGCACAGAAAAGTGGCAGATCTGTGAGCAAGGACTGCAAGTTACATACTGAATTTTCTACAGTTCTTGGTTAAGGAAAAGAGGCATAATCAGGACACAAATTTTGTCTTCCCATGAATAGCAGATCACTACATTTCTATGTGTTGTTCTGTGAAAATATGTAAGATATTAAACTTCCTTCAGCACTCAATAGCCTTATTTATAAAAGACACCAGGAATACCTATTTTGTTGAGGTGTTGGGAAGTGTAGACTTAGAATCAGCTTTCTTCTTAATGTAATTTTGTTATTAATCATTTGAAAATTTCACACATGCATACAATGTGTTTTGTTCATATCCCCCCCCCACTCCTCCCAACTTTGTGTCCTCTTTTGTTTTTCTTTTTATAACCCACAAAGTCAAATTGTGCTGTCCGTATACTCATGACTGTGGGGCTAGCCACTGGATCATGAGCCACCCACCAGGGGGCCATTCCACTGAGAAGACATCCACTGTGAATACCTTCTCTGCTAGGAAGAGGGTCTTGTGAGCCTCTACCCCTTCCATGCTAGAATTTTGACAGGCTTGAACTTGTGCAGGTCTTGGGCAGTCAGCCACAGCAGCTGTGATTTCATGAGTGTAGCAGGCCTCTCATGCCCCAAAGATTCTGTTCCACTTCAGTCCTCCTTGACTTCTTTTACTTACTGTCTTTCTGCCCCATGTTCAATGGTGCCTGAGTCTTATAGGGAGAGAGGTAATAAAGATGTTCCACTTGGGGCTGAACATAATGCAGATACTTATTTTCTGCACTGTGAAACATTTTATCTGTAGTAACTGCCATCCACTGCACAAACAATAATATTTGCTAAACCTTACTAAGCATTAAGAGTGAACGGGACAAATAATTTTCTGTGGTCAACATGGACAGAAATATACATAAAGATAATATAGGAAGTGATGGGGTGATATTGACAGGAGATTTATTTTCACTAGGAAATGGTGCACAAAAGACAACTCTTGGGCTAGAGAATTGGCTCAGCAGTTAGGAGCACTTCCTGCTCTTCCAGAGGCCTTGAATTTGGTTCCTAGTGCCCATGTCAGACAGCCAACAACTGCCTTTAGCTCCAGTTCTATGGATCTGATGCCATCTTCTGACCTCCTTGGGGAGCCCACATGCAGCATTCACTCACAGAGACATAATATACAAATGAGCCAAACGCAGAGTCTGAGTTTCCAGATATACTATGAGAATACATCTGGATAATAAGATTCTGCTAGAAAAAGAATCTGGGAGTCCAGAAATTCATATCTCTGGTATGAATGTTACTTCGTCAAGGCTTTCTCTCTAGCCTTTTGGCTTCTCTTGCTGTTTGCAGAGTCAGGAAAGAGGGGATACGGGAATTGTTATTATATATAACGTATAAAGGAGGGCCATGTTTGAATTAGGAGTCCCAATAGTCTTCCCAGAACTCTTGCCACTTAGCTTCCATTCAGTTGGATTTTCATCAAAGCCCAGAGTTACAATGATAGTCCCACAGTTCTGAGCTATCTTCTGAGTTCTCCAAGGATGCCCTTATTTGGTTATTGGCTAGAAGCTGGAGAACCAATATAACTTCTCTAGGATAATATAAATTTATTTCTATAGCCTTTTGATTATCTATAGGTATGTTTCAACAAATAAAAAAATTAAGATACTTTAGAATTTCTTCTAAAGTTAAGGTCATATCTTTAGAATGCCAGTACCTGATGCATCACTCTCTCTAGTCTAAAAGGTGAAATATTAGATATTTAGTATTTACTCATGGTAATACCTAAAGTATAGCATGTAGGAAACCATCTAATACCTGACAACTTCTAGTTGTCTACCTGTTAAGAACATGAAGCAATATTTTAATAGAACTCATATTTATAAAATAATGGAGTTAGGCCAGGTGTTGATGGTACAGGCCTTTAGTCCCAGCACTCGTGAGGCAGAGGCAGGCAGAGCTCTGTGAATTTGAGGCCAACCTGGTCTACATAGTAAGTTCCAGGTCAGCTGGAGCTACGTGAAGACCCTTTCTCAAAAAGACCAAAAAAAAAAAAAAAGAAAGAAAAAAAAAATGGAGTTAGAGTAGGTCAGATACTGAGCATACAACCATTGTGCTTAAAGTTTTTAATCACATTTTATATATTACCATGAGAAAGATGTCTTCAAAATAATTCAGGGCACTGGGGAGATGGTTCAGTCTGGAAAGGCTTTGCTGCTCTAGCATGAGGATCAGATTTCACCTCCCCAGCATCCAAGTAGGTTATCAGTGAGTGTGGCAGTCTACCTATAATACCAGCATAAGGGAGGCAGAGACAGAGATAGATCTCTGGAGCAAGCTGACTAGCTAATGAGCCAAATGGATTAGCTCTCACTTCACACAGGAGACCATGCCTGGATATATAATGTGGAGAGGGATGAAGGAAGGTGTTTGACATTAGCCTTTGATCCCCATATTCACAAACAAACACACATCACATGGATATGCATCCTCACAGTCATGCAACCTTACACATGTGAATGCACATATTCCCCACATATCACACAGACCTATACATGCAAAAAATAATATGATGATTATACTCTAAAACTCAATAGAGTTTTATTTAAAAATTTAATGTCGACATGAACATATACAGCATGATAATTATTTTTAACAAATATTTTTTTTCTTCAAAAATTTAATGTTTGGGCTGATGAGATGACTCAGTGGGTAAGAGCAGCTGCCAGTGACCTGATGACCCGAGTTTGATCCCTAGAACAATGTGGTGAAAGAAGAGAACAGCCTCCCACAAGTTGTTCTCTCACTTCTGTGCATATGTGTATGCTTGTACAAACAAACAAAATACATACATACATACATACATACATACATACATATACATACATACATTGAAAAAGTTTAAGTGTTTTTTCAAACTGGAACATTTTCTTCCACAAAAGTTTTAAAGCAAGCATCCTGCTAAATAAGACATTCTGTTTCCTATATTTGCAGGAAAACAAATACAGCAGTTTTCCTTGGACTTCTCACACTGAAGGCTTGTCTCACAGAACAAAAGCGAAATGAGCACTATGCAATCAATTACAAGGGTGTAGACTGAGAAATGAAAGTCAAACAACTAATTGTAAATTTTAAGCAGGAAAGTACAGAATAATAAGCTGAAAGAGGATAGATAGTACTAACTTTCCAGACACTTAAAAAGAATAGGTTGAGGATATCAAGACAGAATCAAAGGCGTGCACTACCAGACCCAGCCTTTGCATTGGGTTTTAAATTTCCCATTTCTTTATTCTGATTCCTTCAAGTGCTTTATTCAATATGTCCAAGATTTGGTTCCTTTAAATTTTTCACAAAGTTATGTTTTGCTTCTGGTAAAGTTTCCAGTAATACATTTATACTTTAATTTTTATTTGTTGACCCAATCTCACAACATTGGGGAAAAGATCTAGTTTATCTGTAGTGATAAAATATGATCAGTGGCTTTCAAATAAATAGAAACGTGCAAAATAGTCACATCACCTGACATATTTAACACCTTTGAAGAGTAAGATGGGACTTAGTCTTTCATGATGGCGATACACCTGAGTGCATTTGAACAAAATTTGGTTCTGCAAGCTTGCTAGAAGTAATTGTCATGCAACAGAAATGCACTAACTTTGCATATCAGTAATGCACACACACACATACACTTATCTGTTTTCTGAGTGCTCTGGAACTGATACCAAAGTAGTGAATATATATTTATGAGAACTAAGAATGTGTCTTCTACTTCCTCCTATAAAGAAATGTAATTATGAAATTAATTTTGAGAACATGTGAAAACTATTACTTCATATGTGAATGAAAGTATGATAAAAAACTTCAGTTTTATACCAAAGTTCATAGTTCTTATATTCACATTTGTCTGTCAAATACTATATCATTAATTATTTTTATTATTTATTTTTAGATGGAAGACTGTATTTGAAAACTACTGTCATGTACTGAATTTCCTGTTGAAGAGATCTCTCATCTAATAAAGAACTTTGCAGTCAGACATTCATCATTGGAAAGTTCAGGAAAAACAATACGGTCCTTATAAAGGAACTTCTTCAATTTTATGTATTAATGTTCTTTAACATTTAAGTATTCTACACAAAGGAAATGTTTCCTCCATTGATTTTTCACCTGTGGTTCATACCAGAGACCTGAGAATGTTTGTAAGTGTACAAGTATCAATCTTCTTACAGTTAATAACTGCACCTTCGCTGCTGGAAACTTGCGTACAGAGTTAAAAGACAGGTCTGAGTAAGACCTAGCTTCGCTTTGGTTTGGTTTGCTTTTTTTTTTTTTTCTTCTTAAGGGAATGAACCATTTTTGTTTTCCTCTTCAGAGCATTCTGTAACTGAGCACATCACAAGACTGTGTAGCAGTGGTCATCCAGACTTACAGAATTCTGTCCCATAGAAACCAGCAAGAACACATGGAGCTGAACTTTTAAGGGGCATAGAGGATTTTGAGAAATAAAAAAAAAGAAAGAAAGAAAGAAAGAAAGAAAGAAAGAAAGAAAGAAAGAAAGAAAGAAAGAAAGAAAGAAAGAAAGAAAGAAAGAAAGAAAGAAAGAAAGAAAGAAAGAAAGAAAGAAAGAAAGAAAGAAAGAAAGAAAGAAAGAAAGAAAGAAAGAAAGAAAGAAAGAAAGAAAGAAAGAAAGAAAGAAAGAAAGAAAGAAAGAAAGAAAGAAAATGGATTAATGGAAGGATAGGTAGATAGAAAGAAAGAAAGAAAATGAGATTAATCTGTTACATTCAATTTTAAACTCTTTAAAAGCAGGTTTTCTCCTGAAGATTTTTTTCATATACTTTCAAAAAAATCAACAAATGGCTGTTAACAACTCGACTAAATTAAATTTTGCATAGATGGAAAAGGAGCATTGAATATAAGCCAAAAGATTTCACTGAAGGTCTCTTTTTCTTAAAGAGGAACTATATATAAATATATATAAATGTAACATGTTTTCATTCCAAACTGGTAGTGGTATATAGGATTAAAATAATAATGTTGCTTCTTATTCAAACCATTGGTCACATGTACAGTATATAAACATAAAACACACAGGAAGGTATTATGTATGCAGTAGTATACTAGAGCTTAGGAAAACGAAAATTTTAGAAAATATGTTTTGTCACCCTGTTGGTCAGAAAGATGTCTTTCTGGTTTTAACGCATGCAGGCATGTAAATATTTGTCTGGAGTCACAGTATTAATGAATGAGATCTTATGCATCTGGTGACGTCAGAACTCTGTGTCAGTCACTTTTATTTGTGTATTGATCCCTAGTGAGTGCTCCAAACTGCACGAGAGAGGATGGATTGTGGCTGACCAGTAAATCAAAACACCAGAGATATTTTTATATGTTAATGTCATATTATGTTAATGTTGCTGAAAACAAACTTAACAAACCCTTGGTGTATCGTTCCAATACCATGTAGCCCTGAGTGATGAAGTTAAACTGTGTTGTGCCTCCCACTCTGATCAGAGGGAAGGATGGCTCTGTGTTATCTTCACTGTCTTTTTGAAAGTTACAGTATGTGTTTTCACTTTTGTGCATATAACTGGAAGTAAAGCTGCGAACAGTGCTTATTACATGCTGACGTTACCTTCCCCTTTCTTTTATACATCTGCAGTTACACCTTTAAAGACTTACATGAATCAGTATAGTCATCCGTACATTTTACGATTTTTCTGTGATCTTAAAATTTTATTAGAACATTATTTATTACCATAAATCAATGAAATAATGTGTCTAAAACTGGCTTCAGTGTTTAAAGATACTTCTGATTTGGTAATAATTATTTGGTTACAATATTACCATTATGGAAACTCTGGCACTAAGCTTCAACACTTTTCAGGTCTTCCTTGCAATTATGGAACTTAATTCTTTGAAGCAACTTGTTATCAGCCAGTTAAGTACATTTTTAATACAGTAGAAGGTTGTATGTACAGTTCTTGTTTTAGCTTGCTTTGAAGGGAGCAATATTTTAATTAAAATATTGTTAGTAACTGCATTGTAGAAACTTGGTTTTCTAAGTGTAATTCTTCCATGATCATGTTTTGTTGCTTGAGTATAAGCTATTCTATTCCTAGTTATATGCATTTTTGTTTCTTTTTCCCTATACGCAGTCTTTAATGGATGACAACACTTAAAATTAGATGGACTTGTGGCAAGCTGTGGAGTCATACCTTTTCTGAAAGTTTTTGTTTAAAGCCTAAAATTACATATGTAGTAGAGTTGGCTGTTGCTCTGCTCCTGGCATAGAGTCACCTGTTAAGTGGGGTAAATAGTTTAAAAATACATAAAGACCTTTGAGAATGCTTTAGAGTTTGGTTTGACATAAAAGGAAATTTTAGAAGGATTGATGGTAAAAGCTATCAGCTATACGTTAAGAGAGACTCTTACTAACATGTTGTAAATATTACAATTCACAAAATGTTATTGTAAGTCTGTAACTTAAGTTTTCCCTCTTTTTTAGTTAAGCAAGTTGGTTTAGAAATTTGTGTTTTGATGTAAGCAAGTAAAAATGTGCCCATTTTATGGTTTCCATGCTTTTGTAATCTTACAAATATTAATGTCTAGTTGTTCAATATTATAACCATTTTTGCGCTCTATGCAAGCCCTTGGAACAGAACATACTCATCTTCATGTAGGACCTATGAAAATTGTCTATTTTTATCTATATATTTAAAGTTTTCTAAAAATGATAAAAGGTTATTACGAATTTTGTTGTACAAAATCTGTACAAAAATCTGTTTTTACATCATAATGCAAATTGGAAATTTTTCTATGGTAGCCTAGTTATTTGAGCCTGGTTTCAATGTGAGAACCACGTTTACTGTTATTGTATTTAATTTTCTTTTTCTTTTCAACAATCTCCTAATAAAAATGTCTGAAATCGCCTTGTGACTTTATTTACCGTTCGACTTTTATTAAATTTTGTGAAATGCATAGCATTGAAGGAATATTTACTTTCTAATGGGAGGCATCTAAAAACAACATAAGTCAGCTCTTTGCAAAGCAAAGGGAGCAATGCTCAATGATTTTATTTAACATGCAACCGCTTCTCTCTCTAATATGAATTACTGTGGTGAAAAACATCATAAAAGCACACTCTGTAGTTATTGTTTAACAAGCAGATTTTCCATATTTTGTTTCTTGCCAGCTAAGCAAACTGCCCACATATACATGATTTATTTATGTACATTTCTCAGTTTATGAAGCTGTTATTTGTACCTTTTTCCTTTATATCCTTATATTCCCGTGATTCTTATTTCACAAAGCTTTGTGCTGAATAATGCAATGTAGACATGTTGATGGGACAGAATATATAATTCCTGTATCTATAACAGTGTAGATTTGTAGCCCTTACTCCATGTTTTGCTTTCAATTATATCATGGGAAAAAAATGTCTTTAGTACTTTGAAATTATGATATCCTTTAATAATATATAAACCTTTAATCAATCTAAAGTGCAATATTTGGAGATATATTGGGTTACTGTTTCTGTAAATATTCTAAATATTCAAAAGAGAATGCGAAAATAGATTCTTTTTTTGGTTGAAATAAATTACTTCTATGAATTTGTGAAACAGAACCTTAAGAAATTATAGTCTTTTCCTAATAAAAACCTAAGGTATTTACAGGACTATTACAAACACATTTTGCCTTTTGTCATTTTGTTTGTGTCAGTAAGACATATTAGAACAACATAAAAATCTATGAATCTAGTGGAATTTGGTGATAACTCAGTGCCCCCACCCCAATGTTTTCACTAAACTAGCAAATTTACAATCTGCACAAAGCCATTTATTGTTGCAGAATTATCTCACAAATATAAATCATATGGGCTGTGTTTTAAGATGTGGGAAACAGATGTTGATAGAATCAAAACATTATTGTAAACAAATGTAAGGGTTGTCAGTTTCCCTCATGTGTATGCTTGCTGTTAATATTCAAGTTTAGTTTACGTAAGTGGTATATGAAAGCTGAGCCAATCTTCAGTTGTTCATTTAAACAGATTCGTGAATAAGGCCTCTTTGTGAAAAAGCACTGTGGCTTGTTTTAAATGACCCAGTTTTTATCCCAATGAAGCTGTAATTTTGTTGTAATAGGGACTCTTACAAGGATAGCATCCAAAGATGCACATATCTTTTGCTTTGTAATAAACATAGAACTGATATTACCAGGGTATTCATTTAAATACTTTTCTATCAGGTAGTAGTAATAATCTAAAGACCTTTGTAAACCTTTTAATCTTGTAAAAACAGTAAAAGATGATTTGAGGGTTAGCTAAAAGGATAGGAATTGAGAAAAGAATATATATATAATCTTTCCCTAACTTGGTTAAATGCAAGATCAGTTATTTGTTATTTTTTCATTTCTTTCAATTTCTTCATTTTGCTTATCAATGATCATAAACATTTAAGGTAAAAGTCATCAGTTCAGTCTCAATCAAAAATGTTGTAAACTAATTCCTGATGCTTTCAAACTACTGACCATGATTGTACACTATTATCTAATACTTATTACTCAGTCTCTAAAAATGATTTAAACACGTGGGATAAATTATTAAATGTCAATTTTGTGCTACAGTAATTAGTGGAAATTGTAGGGATAGCTTTATTTACATTTACTGATCTTTGAGCTAAGGGGATTTGAATAACTGATTAATTAGAACTCCTTGTTCTAACAAAACATATTTCTGAAAGTTAAAAACAAAAGAACTGGTTCTAAAGATAGAGGGTACTCATGGAACCTAAAATACAAGGCAGTGAGCCCTCAGGGACAAAGGTCCAAGCACCCTTTACTGTTTCTGTTCTGTTCAGTGTTTTTGACTCTCATTCAGTCCTTCTTCCTTCTCCTGTTCTTTTGTTATTTATTCTTGTATTATTCAAGGGTTTAAGACCCAGCCTACAGAAGTGAGCCAACCATTTTTTCTCTCTTTTGGATAAATCTGTAGGGTGTCCTGAACCTAAGTTCAATCATGCTGAATGGCTTGTAGTTCCCCCTATTCATATAGCTTGATATTTTTTACTTTAAGCTTTATGAATATGTTCTTTTCCCACAGATAGATATTGTGAGGCAACAGGCACACACCAGGTCCTAAGTGTTGATGACCAAGGCATTATAAGAAATGAAATTTTTGCAATGTAACCAAAAAGACAAGAGCAGAGAGCATGACCAAGGATCAAGTAAATCATCTACTGCACATTATATCTTAAGGCAAAAATATTAAATGGTAAGAATTCTCAAAGGATTACCATAGACGGAGATTTAACAGCTACCTAGATTCAGCAGTTATCTGAAGGTGACTGTCAGAGTCTGAGGGACACCCATCCCTGGCTCATCTTTCAACTGTAGTTTTGTTGAAACAAATCAAATACACTTCTGTTTTGACTGATTCCCTTTCGATCTGCTGAGTGTCAATGTTGGGCCCGGTAACTATTTGCTCATCCATGCACCTATGTAAGCCACATTTATGAGCAGCCAGAAATTCTTTGACAACTGT